CAAGTGCCCTCCAATGATAACTTAATATAACTGCCAATATTTCTTATAATATATTGCTGTGAGCTATTAAAAATGAACCACCATAGACATTCTCACCTGATACCACAGTAACCAAAACTCACATTACTCTGAAATAGTTATCATGCACACAATTATTTCCAAATAGCAATAACAACAACAACAAAAGAATTATTAATGTTAGAAGAATATAATTTTATCATCTATCATAGTAAAAATATACATTAACTCTAACCCACTAGGGACAATGAAACTAATCAAATCTTGTAAACACAAACACATTAGACATCCATTCTTTTACATATTTTCTCATTTTAATAATTTATTTTCCTAACAAAGTATAATAGAACAAGTTATATTCCAGAAGTTCAAACTAGTTGGAGTTAATAATCTGGTGTGTACCTTAGATCACCAATTTTCACCCCTTCCTATAGTTACTGATGTGAAATATTATTGCATCTTCCTTTACTAGTCATGATCTCACTCCAAACTCACTGGATTCATTGGAACAGGTGAGGGATGCCAGGATCCTTTTTCCATATGTTTTCTTACAAGGATGAGCCCCACCTGGTCTTCTGAAGTATGACTACTTGATTATTGGTGTTTAAAGCCCAAACCTGCTCCTGTTTCAAACAATGACTACAACATGCTATTCAATCCCACAGGAATAGGATTAAACCTTCTGCATCTTTTAAAATATTTTAAAGTATTACTTCCAGGAAAAGAAGGCAAACACTTTGAAGATGGGTCCTGTACAATACAGTGAATTGAAAGAGCTAAAGGCCCTGATGCAGGTAACAGCTGCTAGTTGCTATGCGTTCACTCTGAGCTGCTAAGCAACCACTCCAGGGAGAAAGATCAAAAATTCAGGAGTGGGAGAAAAAATAAGAGCAGCTGTTGGAAGTATCCCTGGAGAAGGCCATGTGATTTGTAGCAAACTAAACAGTACTTAGTGCTTAGAATTACATGTTTCATGCAGTGATAGGATAAACAGTATATTTTAATAAGTCTAATATCTGTGGACCCAGCAGGCCAATAATTTCTTTTCCAAGCAGATTTATGGAGGAGAACATCTTCAACATCTAGCACTATCCAAAAAATGGTCTTAGAAATTCAGGCTTTGACAATTAGATTTTTTTGAGCATACTCTTAAGTATTTTGTGTAATATTGCCCAAAATAAAATATTCTGCATTAGTTAATTGGCTTCTTACAGGTATTCACATGGAGCTGCACTTTATATCTAAATAATCAGCATTCCCGGATCACTGAGATATACTATTCAATACATTAAACAATAAACCCATACCTTATTCATATCAGACATGTGAAATACTTCAAGGGTATCTTCAGCTGGTCTACTCACACCCGTAATGTATAACACTTCAGGTAATCTTTTTTTTAGTGTTTATTCATCCAAATGTTTATGCTGTTCAGCTGTAATTGTTTGGTGACAGCTATCATTCAAACACCAACTTAATAGCTAAGAGCTACTGTGTAAACTTCTTACAGATGCTACAGATATTAATATGGTCTTCTAGTGAGATTACCTTTGATGCCCAGTTTTAATGAAGAACAGCTATATCTGTGTTATGCTGACTATCATTTCTCAAAGTCTCAGCGTAGCACTGGGAATGGATGCAGATGTTGGCTCAGATTTTGAATGTGCACTGATATGCACGGAGTTAAATTAGTGTAAAATGGAAGAGTTCATCTAGTTCTTTCTGTCTGGGATCCTAACCTCAATCTTTTCTCCAGACTAAATAACCCTAGTTCTTTCATCCTTTCCTTGTAAGTCATGTCCCCCATGCTTCTAACCATCTTTGGTGTTCTCTGCTTGACTTCTCAACCTGCCCATGTCTTTCTTGAAGTTTGGGCCTCACCACTGGACACAGTAGTCCAGTTAAGGCCTTTCCAGCACCAAATAGAGTGGAAGAATCACTTCCCTTGATTTGCACAAGACGCCCCTGTTAATACAACCCAGTATGCTATTGGTTGTTCTGGTGACAAGAGCTGACTGTTGGTTCACATTCAGCTTATGGTTCACTCTAACCCTCAGGTCCTTCACTTGAGTTATTGCAGACAAGCTAGTTATTCTCTAGTCTGTATTTGTGCAAGCAATTATTCCATCCCAAATGCAGGAGTTTGTGCTTGTCCTTGATGAATGTCATCTGATTGATTTCAAACACTTTCTCCAGTTGATCCAGGCCATTCTGGATCAACCTCCAGGGTTTCTGCAACTCTACCTAATTTGGTATCTACTGAAAATTTGCTGTGTGTACAATCAACCTCATCATTCAAATAGTTGAAAGAAAATGTTTAATGATACCAGACCCAGGGCAGACCCTTGATATGTCTTCCCAGCTACACACTGGGAGCATCTATACGTGGCTGCATGGCACCTTTGTTACTGCGCTGTCATTTAATGCTTCCTTTTGGAAGTACTAGAAGACAGTACAGTAACAGCCCATACTGTGCTGTGCTGGCCGTGCATGGTTATTTTTGGCTGCTACATCGCCATAGCAACATGCTATAATAAGGGAGCATGTTGTTATGGCGAAGTAGTGGTGGCATTACAGTTTTTGCCAACAGATGCTATAGCGCCGTAGTATCTTGTGTAGGTGTGCCAACTGAATTATTGATGACGACCCATGGGGCACAATGATCCAACAAGCTTTGTTACCACTCTTTAATACATTTGTCTAGTCCAGTGATTCTTAACTAGGGCACCATGGCACCCTGAGGTGCCTTGATATCCTTTCAGAGGTGCTATGGAGTATCATGCAATGTTAGCACTGTTAAGTGTGTGAACAGATTCACAAGATAACCCCGGAGATTTCAAATAGGAATGCAAAGCATTAAAATATTCTGATGTGTTGTGGTCTTTCACAATTCTTTGCAACAGAAAAGCTCTATTACTTTTCTGTAGTCAAACACTGAGTGAAAATTAAGAGCTGCCATTTTCCAATAGGTACCTTGAGTCTTTCAAGGGGTGCCTTGAGTTTAACAAGGTTGTGAACCACAGATCTAGTCTGTATTTCCTTAGCTTGTTAATGATAATGTCACTGGGGTCAGTGTCAAATGCCTTGGTAAAGTCACAGCTTGTCACATCCACTGCTCTCCCCACATCCATAGAGCCTGCCACCTTATCACAGAAGGCAATCAGGTTGGTCAGGCATGATTTGCTCTTGGTGGACCCATACTAGCTGTTTCTGATCACCTTGTTTTTCTTTAGGTGCTTCTCAGTAGATAGCTTGAGGGCCTGCTCCATGATCTTTCCAGTTATTGAGGTCAGGCTGACTGGTCTTCAATTCCCCAGATCTTCCCTTTTCTCTTTCTTAAAGATGGGAATGATATTTGTCCTCTTTGTCATCTGAGGCTTCATCCAACTTACATTCCCCCAAACAACCTTCAAAATGGCACTCAAAATGAACCTACACCACCAAGCCCAAAACAGGCAGGGCTTTCAGTCACCAGCACTCACAACCTCTCACCCAGGCAATCAAGGATTTGTGTTTCCAAGCAGGGTTCCCACTCAAACGCCCCTGTTTGCTGGCCTGCTTGCTGGCTCCTGTACATTCACAGGATCTTCATCTTTAATGGCATGTATAAAGCTTTAAATACTATAGTATAAAAGTTAAATACATTCTGGAGACTTAATTAGCACTTTTCACTGAAGCTTCTCAGATCACTTGGTTTACTCATTATTTGATATGTGAAAACCCTTTGGGCAGATAACCAACAGAAGTAAGTGTCCTCTCCCCCTCTCTTTTTTTGGAAATATAACCATTGCTCTTCCTGATGAGTCTCTTCGTATAATTTTGCAGAAAATTTACAAATCAAACCTGTTGCACAAAATAATTACCAAGACAAAATATGACAGAGGGTTAAGAGCCGTTGTATGCCAAATACAAGGAAATGGATCCTTTCACTGGTCTTGCTGATTAGAGGCATTTACTGTCTTAGCTGCCAAAACTAATTAATAACTTCTTAATTAGCAACTTCTTAACCAACTTTGAGGCATGGCTTCCATGGTAAAATGCATTAGTTCTCAAATGAAATTCAATTTGTATGTCAAATTGGCGGAAAAATAGTAAAATGGGTGAAAATGGTGACATTCCTGCTTCAATCTGCAGGAAAGAAAGGGGAAAATGCTTTCCCCTTTCATTCCTGTACAACTACACAATCTTCAAGGTGTGAATTGCTGAGGGGGCTGAGGCTGAGAGCTCCTTTACAGGTGAAGATTCTGATTTCTGCTAATGTAAATTCCTCCCACAGCAGGATGCCTCTTCAACAATTTTAGTCTGATTCTGCAAGGAAGCTGGACTCTACTATATAAATCCCATGCCCTTACGTGACCTTAAGCAGATTAGATGCTAAACATCCTCAGGCTTTTCAAATGAGAGAGAGAAAGAGAGAGAGAGAGAGAGAGAAGTGGTCAGGTGAACTATTTAAAAACAAGCCAAACTAATTGTAATTCAGTTTTCTGGAGAGCATGGCAGTGTTGAAAGAGACTAGAAAAAATCTTCCCAAGTAACCTGCTTGTTGCAGTGTCCAGTATTAACATTGGGTATTAAGACACATGCTTGTGCTTCAAATTTATGCATTCATTTGGTATTCTGAACTTTTTAATTTACTTCTGTAATAAAATAAAATGTTATGGCATTGTAGCCAAATACAAAGCAGAAGTCCAATCTTCCTGCACCACATGCTTCTTCAAAAGCACAGACAAGCCTGGTTTGAATAAAACTTATATAGGTCTTCAATGACAAGGAGTGTTACACAGTAGTCATTGTTAAATTGCATTTTTCAGATAATCCCAGCAGAACAAATGCAGAAGTCTTTCAGCGAGGTGCTGCAAGATGCATTGTACACTGTTAAGTGCAGAATTGTAGTCCAAGTTTTAACTCATGCTCACTGTCACTGACATCAGTACAAAGGGATTTGTCTGTGTGATGTTTGAATAAAAAGCAGTAGTTCAATATTTGGAAACACTGCCTTTATAAACATAAATAAGTCAAAGATTTGCAGACTCTTTAGAACAACTGTATTTATAGCATCCAGAAAAAGCCAACATGCAGTAAACATAGCCTGAAATAATAATTTACATCTTCACTGACAAAACCTAAAACTCCAGCAACATTTATTACAATGGCATACTAATACCTAATTCAAATGGAAAGTCCAAAAGAGGCCCCTGATCCATTACTGAGTGAAAGTGGAAAAAGGGACATGGTCCCTTTGAAACAGACCACTTTGGAACTGGAGGGAAGGCCCCTGCAACTGCTGAGTGGACCAGGAAAATTGGAATTGCTAAGTGCAGGACATCAGGCCTTGAAACTCAATGGAGAGTAGTAGGTTTTCTCTTGAGTAGGCCAAGAAGCAGGTGACATCAGAGAAAAAGGGCTGGAATTTAGGCTCAATACATGTGAAGGTGCATCAGCAACTCAAGGGACTGTTCACGAGTCAGCCAAGGCAGCTGCTCTGTAGTGCCTTGAGGACAACTGTCTTGTAATGGGAAGCTGGGAAGTCATTCACCAAGAGGGTCCCTCCGGTGAAACCGAGGGCAGGCTCTCTTTCTCCACTGGGTTTGTGCTTATAGAAGGTAAACTTAACATGCCAGAGAAGCACACATCCTGTTTGAGCAGTTCTTCAAGATAGCCATCAAGCTGCTCCAAGTCATCTGTTTCAACACCCTTAAAATGGTAATAAAAAATAAAAACAAACAAACATGAGTGCATCTAAACACTTAATAATCATACAACATTTTAAAACAATTTGTAGGCAAACACATGTCCAAAAAGTGTTTCCTACCCCAAAAAGCTCATAACCTAAAGTCAAATCAAGGACGGGGGGGAATAAAGAAACAGTGATGTGATGCTACTGCACGGTCGTCTCAGGCTACTATGCAGTCAGTGTCACAAAACAGCCATTTGTCGGTGCTACGTGCAACTCGGGTTAATGTGCAGTCATTTAGTACTTGTCTAAAAACGTACTAAATGACTGCACTGTAACAACTGCGAAGTCAGCATCTCGTGTAGATGTAGCCACAGTATAGGAAAATTGATTATAGAAAGGAAGGAGAAATTGCTTTAAAGAGTAGTCAAGGGCCATGAGCACACTAGGAGTGGTGATAACACTGTACTGTCCCGGTGTTCCTAATGTGGAAGCAGCCATCTTTTGCCATTATTTTGCTTGCAGCAGCATAGCAATGCCCCTCTCCAACCAAAGCAAAACCACCTATATTGGTGAAAGTGCAATTTTGCTAGTAGAACTGTGTATGTCTATACTGGATCCTTCCATTTGCTTTTCTAACATCACTTGACACTCCTGCTAGAAATTTCTTTTCACATCATGAGTTAAAGAGGTGGTTCTGGAGGAAAAGGGGAGGGGGACAGGAAAAGGATTAAGCTAGTTTAGATTTACAGTCAGGGAAATAAGCAGAAAAAAGTGATAAAAGGAAACAGCATGAAGCAAAGAGAAACACGTGCATAACTAGAGAGAGATGGGTGGGGGTGTCATCAAGGAGGCCCCTATAGTAAAGCAGATTGAGCTTGAATTTGATGCAGAAAAAGATGGGATGGCCTGGCTAGTGAAGGAGAACACAGACATAAGCAGGTAGTATTTTGCCTGGATGAGAGAGAAGAGAGATGAGAAGTAAGAAAGGTAGACAGTAGTAGTTTACAAAGAACATTATATTTGGAGCATCTTTACCATAGTGCACTATAACATAAGGATGTTTACAATAAAAGTCTTAAAGGGATTCTTGCCAACACTTCTACTGGAAACATTTAATGGCAACACTTCAACATGAGCTCAGAACATAATGAAGGAAATTCTCATTAGAGTTCTTAAGATTCTGAAACACAAAGGACACCAGTTGCTCATTTAAGGTTTTATCTTGTAAGATGCCGAAAATATTCAGCTCCACGTATAAACTGCAGAAAAGCTACTAGAACTGAAAAATAATACTTAGAATTCACTGCATTCAAAAGCTTGTCAAAGTCTATCCCAACTATGCAATTTGTCCAATAAAAGATGTCACCCACAACATGTCTTGCCCCTCTAAAAAAAATAAACTATTCAAGTTCATTCCTGATGTAAATATCTTTTTTCCAGATACTAGACATTTACTGTTTGATGTAGGTTATTATGGTCTTTAGTATTTTGAAGTTCTTTTACATAGGATGCAGGAATTTTGAGTCAGAATGAAACACATTTTTGATTAAAGCAGAGAAAGAAAGTAAAAAGAAAGGTGCTTTGGTCTAGCTAGAAAGAGCGAACTGCATTCCAGTGAGTTGTCTGCTACCAGTAAAGAATGTTCAGATATAGGACTTCACATAGCTGAAACCTGCTGTCTAGTTAGCGAGTTTACCTAACAATGGATATACAGGTGGTTTCTTTTGAACCCAAGGGGCAGAGCACTCCCCAAGAAGGCTAATGCCCCTCCAAAGCAGATGACAAGTTTACTTGCATATTGAAGATGCTAAGTTTTCTATGGAATTAAGCCTAGATTAGCTAGGACAGGTGAGGAGACAGACCCAGTTCATACTAGCATCAAGGGCCTCTGAAGTTTTGAAACCTACCTGCATAATGTTAGCATAGAAACAGATCTGGATCAGCTGTGGCAGGATGCATCCAGCCACACCTGATCCAGTTTACTGTGTGAAACAGGCATCACATCTAGTCCAGCATTGGGAAGGGGCAACGTGACCTGTTTGCCTGGGGATTTCCCACATCCTTCTCTGCCCCACACCTCCTTGCTGGGACCTGTGGAGGCATGGGTTAGCAATGGAGCTGAGGAATCCCCAGAGCCACATGCCTCCATGTCAGGCCCTGCACTCTGTGTGAAGCACAGGTCGGCATGGCTCCCCGTTCAAAGGCACAGGGCACTGGGAATTCCCTGGCTCCCACACCACCCTGAGCCTCCTTGCTGGGATCTGTGCCAACCTGTGCTTCACATGGAAGCACGAATCAGCTCAGGGCCTCGCACAGAGTGCTGTGGAAGCCAGGGAATTCCACAGGGAGATCCCAGTGGCATGTCTGTTGAAGCAGGGAAACCCCGGCTTTCCCTTCTTACCCAGACATGTCGTTGGAGATACTGGGGATGTACTGAGGTAAGTGAAGAAACCTTGACTTTCCACACTCACCCAGACATGACCTCAGAGATCCCAGGGGTGCATCTTGGTAAGTTGGGAAAGCCTGGCAGCCACTCCAAGGGCTTGAATAGCACAATTCTGCTCAGGAATTCCTGGGATGCTCAGGATTGGGCCCCCCAACCCCCTTGAACTCCAGGTGGCCTGTGCTCTCTCACCGTAAGGAAACAGACATCTGCCACAATGTAGTATCAGAAATGATTACTACCTTCTGTCACAGCCACAAATTTGGGCATTTGTAGTGCAACAAAACTTAGGGATGTCCATTTGTCTTTGCTTTGTGCCACCATATAATTTTTTATGACAGCACAAAGGCAACATCTGTCTTCATCCTGAGAACTTCTGGCTAAAAACAACAGTTGGTTTCAAAACAAGAAAATGGCAAACATGGAATCACAAAAGCGACATCACAAAGAGGTGGTTAATTGACAAGTATGAAAGGGACCAGGGACTTCAATCCCAGTACTTTTGCACAGCAACATCACCACCAATCTTTCCCATGTTTTAAATATTAGCAGTACCAATATCTACAATGGAAGGTAATACAAGGCTGAGAATTTACAGACATACTATTTACAATGTTTATCTGACTCAATTCAGTGACCAGGAGCCAACCGCAAAGATGAGCAGGTCACTTACCTCAGCAGAAAGGTCTTTTTTTTCATTAACTGACTGGCAGTATTTCTGGAATTCAGTGACAGATCCCTGTAAGGGAAAGTAAAACTCATCATAGGAATACTTGTTTTGCTACAGTCCACTTCTTACTACCTGAAGCTTTATAGTCTCTTTGTAAGTGAAGACATGCAGCCCTTACTAAAAAGGAACAAGCCCATAGTTGAGTATACAACACAACACAACAGAAAACTGATATTTTTGCTTTTTGGTGGCAACATTGATACCATTGCATGGTAGAACCTGAATTCTTTACAGGACTAAGTTCCTCATCCTCTGCAAAGATGAGAATTTGTGAACTAGCTGGGGATGCATATAGCCAGAGCAAAGAGCTGTGCTTAACTGCTGAGGAATTACAGATGAGTGCAGAACCAGCATGCTCTGAAGCAAAGGCTGCAGAAAGCAGCTGAGTAGTTTGTCTTTAAATCTGACAACCTACTGCAAACTAAGTGGGTTGAGAAGCTCCCAGATACAAATGATTTGGGTTCTACCATACAAAAGTCCATCTATCTCTGAAACCAGAATGCATTTAGAGTCAAATCCCAGTTACAATTAAGTCAATTGCAAGGCCCCTGGCAGACATTAATTTTACCTTATAATGGGATCTGAGGAATTTTATACAGATTCCAGAAATGGCACGTCCTGCCATGCCAGATATTTAAGATCTGGCATGGCAGAATATGTGATTCTGGGGATCTGGGATAAAACATTTCTCAGTTCCCACTTCATTTCTGCTAGCCCAGGGGGACCTTGGAATCTGGGAGTGGCTTTCCAATTCCAGGCTCCCTGCACACTTGGACTTTCGAGGTGGATGGGCAGCTTCACATAAGGGAGCAGGTCCCCATCACTGGGCTGCCTGCATGGCAGCAAATTTAAAATTGCACCTGGAAGCCTGATATTGGGAAGCCATGGTGGCCCAGCATGATCTTTAAATCTGCACATGTGCTGGGAGGCAAGCATCAGGGAGCCATTCCCTGATCCTGGGCTCCCCATGTGCCTTGAACTCTGAAAGGCTTCCTCAGCATCACAGTCAACATTGCCATCAGCTTCCATCATGGAGCCAGCGGCTTTCCCTTCTGTCTCCCTTGGAAATATCACATATGCCAATAAAAGCGAGATGCAAACCTAGTGCAAAGATGTTTCGCATTTAAAAAGTAACATCCTTTTGGCTGGTCTGCCATTTTATCCTGTGCTTGTTTGAATATGCGTCATGTTACAATAAATTGCACAACAAATGTAACATCTTGCAGGGCTCAAGACTCTCAGTGATTTTAATGTAGCTAAGCTGACTTGCACCACAGCAGAAGATCAGCAACTGCACACACAGACACAAAAAGATGTCTGAGGATTTTTTTTAGCTTATTCTCATTACTGTAACATTAGGTAGAAGAAGGGGGCACCCACTGTAATTAGTAGGAAACAGGTTTAAAACTAACAAGAGAATGTACTTGTTTATGCAATGTGTAGTTAACTTGTAGAATTTATTGCCACACAAGTGGTGGAGGCAGATGGCAAATCCAGGTCCACAAAGGGAACAGGCAAACTCATGGATGACCGATCTATTAATGGCTGTTGAACAGGACGATTGGAGATATTTCCTCTGGGAACTCTAAGCCAATAATGATAGATGCCAGGGAGGGTAATGAATAGGGGATAGATCACTCTAGATATATGCAGTTGAATGATCTCTCTGTAATGGATCCACTCTTCCCACTGCTGGAGATGGGATACTGACCAGAAAGACCATTGGTTTGACCTAGCATGGTAATTCTTATGTTCTTCCTAACAGAAATTCTGTTGAAATATATGCTAATCACAACTCTGGCACAGCTCCAATGAAACTGAAAGAGTTCTGACAATATGCACCAAGGAGTTAACTAAGAGGTACAGACATACAACATGATTATTGTAGATTGATTTACTGTAGACTTAACCCTATTGTAAGTGTACCCTCAAGTACAAAGTAGACATGCAGCAGGTTTTCCTAGTCTAACAGTCTGCAGTAGGTGGCGTTACATGCATGGTCATGGGGAAACAGGGGAGCCAGCTTGCATTGAGAAAACCTTTATTTTAGGGCAGGATGGCTTATGGGTGTGCATACATGATTCGTATAGTTACTCCTCACTTTTGGAGAGTAACTTTTTCATGATGTAGAAAAAACTTACACTGGTGAAAGGCTGTGCACCATGGGTTTGTTCCACTTTTGTTACAAAGCAAAATTAGCTTACACTACTGTGTCCTCATCCTAAATGGCAATTAAATTTTAATTTTAAAATCCATGCTGGTTACCTTTTTTATTAGTTTTCAGTGACTTGTGGACGTTAGAAATGATTGTTCAGTTTTTCAGGCTGTCAGTGGGGTTATTTAGGTTCTATTCTGATTCTGCTGAAACACTTGAAAAAGCATTACAGTGATACCACTGCCTTTGTCCTGGCCCTGCCTCAAAATATGAAATTAAAAGGAAAGTATATTCAAGAAATATACTTTACTGCATTTAGTTAATGTCATAATAAATATTTATAAACTTGGTACTACACGAGCTCGAGCAGCACTATACTTAAAGAAAACCTTGTGTTTAATTATAAAATCAGCTGTCTGATTAGATTGCAACATTAAATCTCTAAAATGTTAGCCCTACTGTAGGAGCGTGCATGTATTTTGGATTTACCTACATGGAACTCAAGCAGTGTGGAATAAATAAATCATATTCCACACGTTAGGAGGTATATAGGCATCTAAAAGCAATCCTATTCCACCCTGTTTGAGTCTCTGTAAAACTGACTTTTGTAATGGGCCTCTATCTTGGTCTTAAGACTGTCACAAAAAGAAGAGAGGAGGAAGAAACCCATTTATTTTTTGCATTTCTATCTTTCCAAAGGACTCCAGCAGGTTGGAATAGGACCATATTTAGATACTTAGGCATCTCTGAGGTTAGATAGGATCTAGCCCATTTTGCACAGTAAGGTAGGATGTGAATTCACGGTGCACTAGCCGCTCTCCATTACCTCCCTGAGGTAGAAACAGCTGACAGATTAAATCAATGTGGGGTGACCTACCTTACACAAAGGCACTTTCCATATGTGCACTATGCACTAAAAGTCACCAGGCAGGAAGTCTGTGTAGAGTGGCTTTGCTGCTGTAGAGTTTTAGCTTACTGCTTACTGACATCTTTTTGTATACAAGTCCTCTGCTGTGAGATGTTTACAGCAACTTTTTAGCTGTCAAGGATGCCAGGAAAAATCAGATAGCTCAACTTACTAGTAGATTTTTTTTGTTACCTCACTGAAAACAGTTCATGATTCTAATGAACCTTTCCAGCCTCCAGAGCATTTTTAGTTTTAGAAATGTATCTGTGAACAAATTCATAATGCATGGACACTTACTATGATATGGAGACCTACCATAGTCTAGAACAGCAACCTTCAGGACAAGCTGTATTTTTCTTATGGAAAAATACCAAGATCTTATTAATAATACAAATCTGAATTATCACTCACTGGAAGAAGCCGCTGTAGTAATTCTGCCATCTTTTCCCGAAGGTTCTTCAGTTTTTCTTTTGTAGCTTTCATTTCTAACTCGCAGCCTCTTTGTCGCAATTCCCAAATTTTTGCTACTTCACAAGAGTGGCTAGTTATAGACTGAATTTTCCCAAGTAGCTGCCTTTCATATTCAACGAAATAGTCTTTTATAACCTAGAGTTGAAATTGTAAGCATATTTTATTAGAATTAAAAGCAATACAACTCGCATGTATTTAAATATATATGTGCATATATACACCTGTATAAATATATTTGATTTTAATGGATAACTGGCTTATTGTAGTCTATCACACTTGAACACAGAGTAGCCCAGCATAAAAATGGACGATGAAACCTTGCTTTCACTGTTGACAATACTTGATGGTGTGGGAAGAATTCAATTTAATCATAATATTTTCCTTTATAAACTCCTACCCCCTTTGTCTCATCTAAACCATGTTGCAGACAGAAACATTTCTCTTAAAATGCCTCCCCTTTTTCCTAGAAAGCTAATGAGGAATGCTTAAAGGCTGCCCATTAAAAATTATTGAAATTTCTGCACAGAGGGAATGAGCTAAGAGTGTAAGGTTCTTATTGAGATGCGGAAACAGAGATAGCTCTACAAAGCAGAAATTCATATTGTTCTGCCTATGTGAATTATGTTCTGCATTATTATTTTGAAAGAATTGGAGTTCCATATTAGGCTGGATTTTGTGTTAAAGAGAATGGTTGGAAAAGAGTCCCAACATTTTTAATTTGCTCTCCATTAGACAGTAATTTCATCACCAGTAATACACTACAGAAGTGTTGCCTTACATTACCACAGTGCTGTGACTCTTCCAAAGATACTTCAAGATCATGGCAATTCTTAGCAAATCTGAGGCTTCCTTATGGAAACTACAGTGGCTCAGCATGCACATTGTTTACAAAATTGCTGTTTAACTGACTTTTGGTAGGCAGAGAAAATTAATCTATATCTTAACCAGGAAACCCAAAGGACAAAAGCAGAAGGAAAAATCCTCCACAAGAGAATGTTGCATCTTCTATAACTGAGAATGAACAATGTAAAGACATTTTCAAAGGGAGATGCCAAGTAAAGCTGCCTAGGCAGCATGTACAACTGAAGATAAGTTAAACAGGAAATTTGTCAGCAGTCAGCAGGGAAGGATGAAATGTTGCTGGACAATTTTACCAATACATTAAGTGTTTTTAAAAACTTTCCAAAAGCATGTAATAGGTCATATATATCACTATTCTCAGTTACTTAATAAGAAAGTAAGTAAAGTAAGTAACTGGGGTGGGGGGCTGGACTCGATCATCTTCCAAGTCCCTTCTAGCCCTGATGTCTGTGAAATTTATGAACCTGCTTTCTAGAATAGATCTTTAGGTGTTTTAATCAACTAGCAACGGAAAGACTAAGACTAGCATGCTTACTTTCACCATGTTTCTGTTAAATTAGATACGGTGGTAATACTGTATTTGCTCAACTATAAAACAAGTTTTTTGCCCCCAAATCAGCATAGGGAAAAAAGCCCTTCATCTTATATTTGCATACCAGCAACTCTCCCTCTTCCACCTCCTCTATTAAATACATTGGCTATCATTAAACTGCTGCTAGAAGCAGCACTTGCTCAGTCATGAAAACCAACTATGAAGTTGATTGAATACAGCCCATGTTGAGCATGCCCATATCACACATGGCTCATATTGGGCAAACACTGATGGAAACCTTTTTTGCATGTGTGGCCCCTTAAAAAAAAAAGGTCAGTTACTTCCCCAGGAGGTAATGAGCACTGGGCCTGGAAGTACTGCAATTCTAGGCTGGCAATCAGAGATGCCACAGCAAGCTCCAATACCTTCCTCTGGTGCCAAGAATGGTGATGGGAACTTGTTAAGTTTTTTTTTGGTCAGTGAAACCTTAAAAAAAAAAAAAAAAAAAAAAAAAAGGGACAGATGTTCCTACAGGTGGGAACAGGCACAGGTGGGGACATGCTGCCATACCAGGCCAGCACATGGTAGGCTGGAACAAGCTCTAAGACTTTTCCCTAGTTCCAAAAATGCTGATGAAACCCACCATAAGGGCAGGCCACTACAGCCCATCTGAATAAGATACAGTGCCCATTGTGCTCAGCTCCCCTTAGCACTAATACTTTTAAAAGTCATAGTAAGCCACTACATCAAATCTATTTTGATTTTTTCTTCACTCCCACAGAGGAGTTGTGCTTTTCTTTTCCATTTCCAATTATTCCTGTTTCTTCACTAGCCTGAAATATCTGGCAAACAACGAAACTGCTGTGCAGCTGAGAGGCCCTGTTGCTGTCTCTCTCAGCCTGTTGCATAGGATTAGTGCGGCCCTGCCCTCTACAGCATGGAGACAAATCAGGCAGACCCATGCCTCATCTGCAAATACATTTTGGAGGGTCCTAGGACTTGTGACAAGAACACCCTGTTTCAGTCACGAGTAGGGGGCTAATTATCATGTGGATCCTTTGGGGTGGGGTGTGGGGCTGGAGTTCACACATACTGAGCAATGCTGGGCTGTGAGCCACCGTGGCCTGAAATGCTGTTGACTCCGCTGGGGCCCAGCCTAATGAACTATCTGATAAGTCATGAGCTTTTTGGCATTGGACTAATATGCAGAGTTTATATTATGCATAAGTAGGTACAAAAATTGTGCTTAAAAGTATGTTAATGGACTGCCTGGGCTGAAATTTGCAGTAGGCAGGGTTGAGGGCAGAGTCAGACCCCTAACAGTCTCCTGTTCCCCTCTGAAGTTCCTGCCCTCCTTTCTGTTGCTTTCCTGCTCTTATGGGTATACGCAGCTTACTTCCGCATTGTGCTTGGGGACAAAACAGAGCCTGTGCAGGGTTTGACAGTAAGGGGGGGGGCGGGGCAGGAATGCCACAGTGGGAAGTCGTGGGGGCAGAGGTCAATGGGATTCCCCCCAGCCAGTATTTACCCTGTTACAGCAGTGGAAGGAGGATGAATTCAAGACACTCTGATAATTATATTCTATACCTAGAAAATTATAACAAATTTTCCATATATAGAATCTAAATTTGGGGGGGGGGGGGTTATATTCAGGATTGTCTTGTACTCAAGTAAATACAATAATTGTTTGATGAAAAATAAAAAGAGAAGAAAATGATTTTAGTTTTAAGAAACCTTTGGCAGATTTAATCTTCCAAAATAAAGTAGCTTTCTCAAGAAAGAGATAGTGAGTGCAGAGTATGTGAAATCAACTGGGTTCCACTTGACTGTTTTATTCTTGTTTGGATAAGACAATTATCTGGCTATCACATGGAACACCATTTTAAAAAATAGAAAAACCTTCCTATTCTATTCACCCATTTTATCCATTTAGAGCCAGTACCTGAAGAGAGACCTTAAGAAAAGAAAAGGCCAGGGGAGAGCTGAAGATATTAAGAAAATGAGTTTCATCCCGTACAATTCTCTTGTTTAATTCTTATTTACACTTAAAGCCAGCAGGAAGAATGCACCAACATTCTTCACTGGCTATCACTAAGAAATAAGCCGCAAAGGTAATGGATATATTAGGATCATGTAATACACTAAGAGTACGATTCTGCATTCACACTCTCACATGAAAAAGCTGTTATTCTTAAAAGTAATCCTCCTGAAATTAATGAAGTACTCTTGCCAGTAGAAGTGGCAGACTTTGAAGACTGAACTTTAATGCACTAATGCATCCGATATCATTGTTCTTAAATGACCAGACTGTTTTGTTGGGTCTTTGATGCACTTCCCCATGACAATTCTTGTTAGATATTTAAATTAGACATACTTGAAAGAGTAGGTTTTTGAATGAACGTTTGGTTGCGTTTCAGAAAAATAAGCACCTCTGGTTTCACCGGCAGAGTACTGGCAGTGACAACACTAACCACACTTCTTATAAACTGGCCATCTACATAATTTTAAGAATAAGTTGGCATAAAGAATACATAGGCTAAATTCTATCCTCAGGTACACCTAAGAAACTTCTGGGTGCACTGAAGTCAGAAATGCTTTAAGACTATAACTGGGAACCAAATTTTAACTCAGTTTTACTGACCTAAGCTTAGATGTTTTGTGCACTGGATATTATTTAAGGAGACTGCATCTCTTAAGTATATGTAATAAATACAGCTAAAAAAATTCAAAACTCTATAAGTGAAATAATTCTCTTTTCCCTGGAAACCTGCATACAAAATAATTTACTATACCCATCAGATGTCATATCAGTTTGGAATATAAATGAATTGCATTTAATAGCTTTACCTGGCTGCTGCACAATGCTGGCTTCCTTAGTAGTTCAGAAAGACACTCTGGCTATTTTTATGGAAAAAATAAGAATTAAAATTTACACTTAGGTCTTAAGGATATTAGAGTTATGCATGGGATTTGCAGGTACTCAGAGAAATTGGTTTAATAATAAGATAATAAGTATAAATACATACAGAAAAGAGGCAAAGGAGCAGAGTCCTACACCAACCAGCTGGGAAAACAGAAAAGCAGGTTCCAAAGCATTGTTGCTGTGGTTCCAAAGGGGCAAAGTGAACCTTTACTATCAACTGGAGAAGTGTGAAAGTTTTTCACAGTTGACTTATTAATTTACAGAATTGCAGTAATGTCAGAATGTAATAAAACAAACAGTGCTGGAAGAGACTATGGTGACAGGATGAGACAGAACTAGAAACCCCTCTGGCTCTTTGATTTAAGAGAAGAGGTCATAGTAGTCGCTTGACCTATAGGAGAATTCATCTCAGCTGGCTGGAATAGTAACTCTCTATGGACATTTTCTAGAGGGCATTGCATCACATTTAATATGGCAGACCCCTTGCTGATTTAAGTTCAATCGGAGTCCCCCAGCATCCTGGCATGCTGCCTGGGCTGGGCAGGGCTCTCTGCTCCACAGCAGGGCTGGCCCCTCCCTTCTGCTCCCCAGCCAGAGCTCCAACAGAATTGCAGGTACAGCAGGGTCTGGTGGCTTTCCCATGCCCCCTTCTCTCCACCTCTCACCACTCGCTGCTTAAGCAGAGATCCTGTCCTCCTCTCTTCCAAAGCATGGGCTATAGCCAGCACGTAGTATACTAGCTAATGCTGTGTAAGGCTCTGGCAGAGACTGCAGACACAGCAGGGTCTGCCTGGCTTCCTTCTGCCCTTACCCACCCCCACACTTGATGCTCAAGCAGGAAATCCACCCTGCCCTCATCTCCCACACCAGGAACCCCAACCCCAGGGACTCTAGGCATGTGATATGTTAGCTAATCCCGAGAGTTGTCTGTGTTCATGTCTTTCTCCAATTTCATTGGGATAGGCAGACAAAACAGTGACTGCTAAGGGCTTTTGGAACTAAGCAACAGGTCAGCCAGTGAGCTGTTTAAAGAAGTTTGACGTAATGGAGAGAGGCTATTGTTTTGCTATTGGGGTAATAAAGACCGTTATCAGCCTCCGGCTGGCTTGCTCACCTGTCAGTTGCCTTCAGACAGTATAACAAAGTAGGGAGGGAAACTGAAAAGCTCTGTATCATCAACAGATGCATGCACTGTACACCCCCCTTGCCTCAGAGTGATAGCAAGGGGCTGGGGGCTGGCAACACTCCCGCCCCTTGAGCAGCCAGTGGGAAAAAGCCTGAGATGGTGCAGGCAGACCTCCCTAATCAGAAGTCCTCCCATGGCCTGGCCTGGCCACACCCCTCTCCCCCCCCACATCTTAGCACTGGAAGGAAAGGGAGGGCGGCTCTAGCGCCCCCCCCCCCCCCCCCTTTTACCCGGACCCCCCACAGACATTTC